ATCTTCTTTGCTTCTGCGTTTTGCCTACGTAATTAAATATCTAGGTTAGTACCGGAAGACTTTTATTTCTTTCATGTTGCTCTTTACCTTTCTGTTCGGAAATTCTTGGACATTTGTGTCCATTTGGGCTGCAAAATAAATTCGCATGGCCATAGACGAGCACAATACTTAAGGAAACCAAACCTTGGATCGATTTCCACTACTTCCTCTTGCATTGATTTGAGCATTGTCCATTGCTCAGTGCCATTCAAGGATTCCCATCCTCTGTACTTACCCATGTGATTTTGAGAAGCGAAAGCACGACAAACAGAAAGGGCAGAACGATTCAAATTCTCCATCATAGCTCCCTTGTCAGTTTCAGACAATCCTTCTACTTGTTTCAATAGCAAGATTGCTATCTCCAGTTTCTTGTCCTTGTATGAAACTGCCTTCGGTACAGTAATAGAAGGAACAGTACCAGAAGAAACAGTAGACTCACCTTGTTGGAGACCTCTTTCAGTCAAACTTTGTAAGGCTTCCTATAAAGTGTCGATTTTATTTTCAAGGCAAATGATGTTCCTTTCCAACGTTGAACAGGCTTCATCCACCTTTGCCGTAATCATATCATCCATCGATTTCTTTTGAGCTAACAAGGCTCTTTCTACTATTGCTTCTATAGACGAGAGCAAATCGGATGTAGGTTCGATGGGTTGTTTTCTTTTAGGAGGCATATCTAGAATAAAAAAAATAAAAAGAAGAAAGTAGTGAAAAATTTTTATCCCTGGTAAATAATCAAGCTGGTAATTATTAGTGTCATTATCTATTTCTGTCAAAAACAATAAAAGAAAAACAGCCTCGTCGTCCAATCTTCTTTTCACACTTTCTGACACTTTAAAAAAATGGTTAAACATTACTGCCCTACTTGTCAAGAAAAATTTAAGTTGAAAGATTTATCAAACCACCTTAATAATCATAAGGTTCAACAATCATTAAAAATCTATAGTCGAGTATCAAAAAATATTAGCATTAGTCCTTCAATAAATGGAAATACCGCAATGGGCCAACAAATCTTACAAAACTTGCAGAACACTGGCACCATGTTCGAGAATGTGTCTACAGAAACCGAAACGTACGAAGACGAACCTATGGATTACGATTACGAACAAGAAAATGTCGCGTTCGTTGAGGAATCACAAGGCCTGCTTGCAGATGAAGAATTCCAAGATCAGAACATGGATCCTGAAGAAGAATGTTTGACCCAGGAAAAAAAAGATGTGATGAAAAAATTAGAAATTTTTAAGAAAACCGTTCAAACACCGATTTGTATTGACACTCAAGGCTGCACGAGACCTCTTGATTTGACTGAAAAAGCCAGTTTGAAGATAAGAGACATCATGACAAAGCGGGCAGTATCAAAAACTGCCTCAGAAGAATTAATTGCAGCATTTAATGAGTATATGTCAGATCTTGAGCTCGGTAAATTGATAAATGTTATATCTAAATAATTGTTTATTTATGACGTTTTTTTAATAGAACAACACCTCCATTTGCTTTCACCCTACAAATGCGATGCAATCTCCAGCAAGAACATATCCAGAGTAGATTCAGATACGTACGACATGTGTCGTAACGGCTGTTACATGTTTGTGGATGATGAACAAGAGAGAGGACAGACTGAGTGTCCAAATGTTTCTTGTAAAGCTGCTAGATACACCGATAATGCCACAGGTGTACCTGTAGAAACTCATACGCAGTTATCTCTCGCAAAGCAACTCGGAAATTTTCTGACTCAGCAAAGAAATGTCAACAACATCAACGCATATAGAGAAGAGAGACAATCTTCGTCCGGATCTTACAAAGATGTTTTTGATGGTAGTGCCTGGAAGAACAACCAAGATTTAGAAGGTGATAAAATGCTCTCATTGGCTTTACATGCCGATGCATTTTCACCTTTTAAAAGAGGTGCTACAGGTCAAAGTATGACGCTGTTGATGGTGACAATTCTGGACTTATCTCCAGAATTAAGGTATTGTACTGATAACATTTGAATTTGAAATGGAATACTGATTTTTTGTACATATATTTACTTCAAAAAGATTCAAGGCCGAAAATGTTCTTATCTTGGGGATTATCACCACGGAAAAAAAGCCATGGGATATCTTCAGCTTCCTTTACCCCACGTTAAAGGAGCTGATAACACTCGAGGAGGCTGGGATTTCCATGGCTTCTGATGGCACCTGTACGTATAAGGCGAAGCTTGTTCATGTTGTAGGGGATATACCTGGAGTAGCGGATCTTTGTTGTCATTCAGGACATACGTCCTATACTGGTTGCCGTATGTGTACCATTCGAGGTATGCAATCAAGTAAAAAACGGGCAATAGTTTTTCCCCCAAAAATGGACAAGGATGGGGTTTTTTTAAAAAATGACTATAGAGATTCCAATGCGTTTTGTCATGGTGATAAGGTACTGCTATATGTGACCAGGAAAAAAAGTGTAGCTAAATAATTGTATTCAAATTTACTAATGATACTGAAATACATATTTAAAAGAGTGCTGGAATCAAAAAGCCAACACCATTTTCTTTGCTGAATAGCTTCCAGGGATACTCCTTCTTCGGTCTGGATGAACTCCATCTTTGGGGGTCAAACATCGCCAAGCAACTGTGGAAGATGATGGTTGACGATAAGCAGTTGTTTGGGCATGAAAACCCACTGTTTCTCCGAAACAAGTATCGTGACAACGTTGGATCCAGAATGGCCACCATTCAACGTTGTATCGATAGTAGTGCTTTAGACGGCCAGCTCATTGGTAAGTTTTTAATGGCTTGTATTTTGTTTGTGCTTTTTTATTTCCAATTTATACATCGTATCTAACATTCATACAACAGACATGGCTAACCGTGCAGGAAATGCAAGATGTGTGGACATGATTGACTTCATGCAGTACATCGTACCCACGCTGGTCGTCGAAGCGCTACAAATACAAGCAATGGACATTGTTGCAGCCGAAAAAGCACGACGCAACAAAAAGATGAAAAGAGGAGACGTGCCTGTTCCTGTTGGGACGAATCTGGTAGAAGTGCCAGAAATTATAGGCAAGACTTGCTATGCCTTGCAATGCTTGTCCAAAGTCTGTCGTATGACGGAACAATACGAAATTTCCACCATGGATCTTATCGAGATTGATAGGTAAATGTAGTAGAATGTTGTTTAGCACATAACTAACTTTCAAATTGCCTTATGTATTTATGCGTATTTACAGATTGATTGAGGTATGGCACTTGTTTCTGCTGGAGGTGTACAAAGACACGGCTTTTACGATCAATCAACATTACTTGACTCACGTTACCGAAATGATACGTCAGCTTGGACCGCTTCGCTGCTCAAGTGCACGAGTTTTAGAAAGAACGATCGGTAATGTGAAGAGGTTAATTAGATCAAGATCAAAGCCTGCCGAGAATGCTGTAACAGTGATGAAAAATCATCATTCTCTTGCTTGTCGAGCTTGGGGTGTTGAGGAATTGCAAGTGAACAAAAAAGAAATTATGACCATAACTGAGCTTTTTACAACTTCATCACAAGAAGAAGTGGAAGCGATGATGTATAAATTTCCATATCTTTCAAATCAGGATAATATAAATTATTATCCAACTTGCTGTATTCCTCGTACCAAGCAATCGCTCAGTCATAAAAGAAAAACCAAAAGATCCGTGGTGGTAGAGTTCAAGAATGAAGATGGTCGTGTTGAGCACGCTACAGGAATCATAAGTACTGTATTCAGTTTAGATGGCATCATCTTGTATGCAATGGTAACCTTAGAAGCCATGCTTTTGCATAATGGCTCGAATTATTACATGAACAGATCAAACGTACTTTCCTCTGTATATATAGCAGCCATCGATGATATTGTTGGTTTGACCATCTATATTCCTTCGATTATGAATGATGACATAGTGCATGTAATGTGTAAAGGGCTACAGTAGAATACAGTTTCACAGTTTTTTACTACTGTATGCTTATAAATAATTTTAAACATACAAAAAGAAAAAGCCATCCTTCCTATAATTATTTAAAATGTCATTGATTTGCTTTTGTATAGTTTGGTGTAAATTCGTGTGATTTCGTGTGATTTCGTGTTGCCACCATTTTATATTTTATCACACTTTTAAAGAAGGTGTAAGTGGGTGTAGTTTGGTGTAATTTAGTGTTAATGTTCGAGTGACGATTTTAAAATGTTAACACCAAATTACACCAAATTACACCAGAAACACTAGATTACATTTTATTTCCCGTTGTGAAGCTTAGTTATAGATATTTAAGTAGAGTAGTAAAAGAGTTATCGTTTTATTGAAGTGTCGTGGGACTTTTGGTATGTAACAGCCAAATATATAAAAGTATTATTTAGAGGATCAAATGTGGTAGTTGAGAATAGATTTTAAAAGAGAAAAACAATAAAATACTTTGAGACTGCTTATAAGTTTTATTAAGAGTAAAAGTAGATTCAAAGATTCCGAGGGTTCTATTCTAACTATCAGTTTGCATATTTATATATGTTAAGAGAAATCGGATTATGAATTTAGTTTGATGGATAAGTTACACAGCACTAAAATAGTGCTTGTAGTTGGATATGATATAATGTATAAGAAAATAGTTCGTGTTGTGATGTAATAATGTATGGGGTGATGAAGTGAGATTTAATTTTAATATTGTTTTATGGTGTGATTAGTAACAACAGTAGGTGGATCACCACATCAAAGATAATTTTATTATGGTTGAGATAAAAGCCTATTTTAAATATCAACATATTTGTGTGACCTAAGTCACGACAGAAGGATTGATCTGACATATTTATAATTATCTGAAAGCAGTCACGACACTCGACAAAAGGCTCTGTGACCATGTCTGTAGTTGGAAAAAAATTAATTAAAATGTTGAGGAGAGGGCCGGTAGGCCCTCCTAGAAAAATTTAAAAGTCGGATCGTCGACAAATAATTGAATTTAAGAGATGAATTAGATACTTTATTGAGGCTTATATGTACAATATTTTCTTTTAGAGCTTCCGGGGCAGATATTGCTATGGCAAAGTGCACATGTTCTTGTTTTTTTTCGCTTAGGGTTTGATTCACACATTACAGTGGGTGGTGGTGTATTGGAATAAAGGAGTCGATGTTTTCGTGTCGTTGTATGTGATGGGCTTAAAGGTAGATTCATAAGGTTTTGAGACATAGGGTTATGAGGCATAGGGTTATGAGGCATAGGGTTAGGAGGCATAGGATTTTGAGGTAGGCGAGATGGAAACATGTTATTTGGGTGCATAGAATAGTTAAAATTGGGAGGCATATTGGAGTTTTGTGCATAGATGTATTGAGATGGCATAATTTTAGGAAGAGGTTTGGATGTCGACGAAGCGTTATCTTGTTGATGTATTTATTTTGAGTTTTGAATATTTGTCATGATTGTTTGTCCTGGTAATAGGAGGAAACGATTAGCTTCTTCAAGTGGTCTTTTTTCGTATGATTCTTTAATCAAGGTAGAAGCAGAGTCAACTCTTTCTTTGCTTAAAATTACAGAGTTGAGATATCTGCTTTGATCCTCTCTTTGATTAAAGTAATGACGTAGATTTTCTGGTGTTTTATAAAAAATATTTTTTTTCTTGCCATCATTACACTGCTGAGACCATAAGATGGTGAAATCTTACCATGTTTTTTCAGAGAACACTTGATTTGCAAGCGAAGGATTATTTCTTCGTAATAACAGATACAACTCCATTTCTTCTTCAGTATGAACCGGAGTAACGGCTATCTTTGTTCCTTGCATATAAGAGAGATACAGATGTTGCAAACCACCAAAAACGGACTTGTTTCTGTTTGTAACTTGTACAGTTGGACTGACACATAGAACTAGCTTGCTTTTTACGGTCATACTTTCGAATTTCTGATAGCAGTTACCATTATCATAGTTTGTAGTGTTACTTTGCATATGATATGTGTCAATAAGCTGTTCTGGCATACGACAAATACGTCATGATTGAGGCTATATACTTAATATATGACTCTATCTACATTTCTTAAATCTTCCATTTGATAATCCTAAATATAATTCTTATGGATACTGTTATATTAAATACTGATCATTTACTTTATGTACAGGCTTGATCTCATATCATCCTTCATACAAGTATAAGACATACATTTAAATAATAACATTGATATGAACACATATGAAGGTTACATCAGCCACATTGAGGTGCCACAGCTATCTGAATTAAGAACTACATTTTCCCCTGAATATTGTGCTACAAGACATACACAGTTTAAGAATGAATGTTATTGTTATTGTTATTGACATCCCATTATGGCCTTTCTACATGGGATCATTACATCCGAGTATTATCTGGATGAATCTACCCACGACTGTCATCAGCCCATCTGTGATCAATGTCTGAAATAATGTGTATATAAAGACCCCTTTTTATTTGTTTAATAAAGCCTTAGTTAATTTTTGCAAGTTTGATAATTTTCTTGTTTTTATTTTATAAATCTACACCGATTTCCACAAAATACCGAACGTTTCTGAAGATGCGGCAAGAAAGAGTGTATTTCCACTTGGATCACTATAGGAGGGCACTACATTTTGTTTCATTTCAGCCCTGAGAAAATTAATCGCTTGGTTGATCCAAGGCGAGAAATGGGTCTTGTGAATAACGCCGTATTTGTTTTTTGACCCAACCTATATTAAAATTAAGGTGACATTAGATGAAGTACTCATAAGTACTATTAATTATTTTTATAGCAGCTTACTGTTATGTTGTAACGGAGACGGTAATCTGCTAAGACACAGTCGGTAAGAGCGGGACTGGCATTGAAAGACGAGAGTTTTCGGATGATATTCTGATGGACACCTCCTTCAACAGAATTCGTGCCTCTCACGCATCTGTACACTTGAAGACCATTCTGATCTTTGCTCATTTGATAGTACCAAGAGACACCAGGAGGATCCGAGACATGCCCAAGTCGAATGGCTTTAAGTACCATGTTTGACACCTTCCAAGCCTTTTTGTCAAAAAGCTTGTTTCCAGAGACAGAACAAATGGCATTTCCATACACCTCAAAAAGTTTTTTCACGACAGGGTATAGCTCGGATAGATTGGGGACATATCGTCTAACTCTCTTGAGCACCCAGTCGGAATTTTTCACCATCATTTTTTCTAGAGATGTGTGTCTAGTTTTCAAGTATTCCGTCACAAGTCTTTCATCTTCTGGGTCATTTACAAACAAGACATCTCTAAACTTTCTTGAGAATTCTTTGGAAAATCCATGCGTTTTTTGAATCGGAATCATATCCATGATATGGAAAACATCTTTAAGTACTCTTGAAGGTAAAATGTTTTGAGCATCAGAGTTGTTTAAGCTGGTATCCAAAGTTTCTTCAGGGCGATTTGCATGATTAGTTGTATTTACAAAACAATCTTCACTAGCAATAAAAAGCTGGTAATGATTCAATTACAACTTCAAAAGGTGTGTCACCAAAATCACTCAGGGATTTGTTGTTGGTGTTGTCGAAAGAGTCAATCATCGTGGTACCAGGTGTGCTAAATCACACATATAGATTGTACATATAATAAATTCATATCTCATCATCACTGATAAATGATAGCTAAATCATGATCAGGCATAAAAAAAGGAATTCGCTAAAGCCGGTCACTATTTTAAAGTGTCACGGTATCGTAACACCAATGTCCAAACTTAAGACATGTTATTGTTATTATTTCTCTATTGACTATGCGTAGCACTAATTGTCCAATATAGATATTGTTATTGATAGCACACTCATATTCTTAAGAGTAGTATCCTCAGCCTCGTCCATTCCATTTATTATAAATACTCTTTATTTTTCCTCTTCTTAAATCTTTAGTTAACTTTAACATCAATAAACTCTGACAAGAATTCTAATTGATCCTATTGTTTTTTTCTACCTTTTTTTCTGCAAAACTATCCTCTTTAAGCCTACTTTTGCTACACCAGGAATAGCAATTTTTGTTATCTTAATTACCGCTTTGTTCTTCATACTATGCATTGTATCAGTAGGTACCGTAGTGTAACCAAAAGCACAAGCTGGTTTGCTTCCTTTAACATAAACAGATACAAAGGTATTTGGGTTAGGATTTTCAAAAATTTGAGTACCAATTGGAGTAACATGCTGTAAAAAATTGAATATTTCCAATGATACATATGTAGGCATCGCATGCGGCATAGTTGATTTGATTTTCTGACAGACTGGTGGAGCACCAATCACTAAGTCTTGGTGAATTGCTATCTTTGGGTAATTTGTTTTTAAGAACGGCGGAACAAATAAAATCCAGCCCAACGTTTGCTTTTTCAATTGCACCTTTGTTCTTACAATAAGTCCCCAATTCTAACTTCCCATTACCCTCGCTCAGCTTGAAGTCTCGCTCCAATTTTTTCATATCTCCACCAACTGCCCGGCCAATTTTAATTATTTTATCATCAACTAAAAAGATCTTCAATGCCTTTGGAAAATTGTTTTCGTTAAACTTGTTCAATCTTATAAGCCAGACGTTATTTTTGTGGGTAATTTGAACCAGAGCCACTTTATCAATTGAAAATGGAGACCGGTTGAAGTACCATTCACAATCAAATCCAACGCATAATGGGCCACGATCTTCAGATATGTTAAGCACATCATTGAGTACTGAATTAATAGCTGTCAAATTATCTAAAACACAGACTTTGACATCTAAAGGAAGGGTATACATCGGAAGAGCCAGATCAGTTTCATTTAAAATTTCTGCGTTGTCTTAATACTGGTTTTCATTAGAAGTGCTTGCATCAACAATTTCTTTTCCCTTGCCCTTTCGATCAATTTTTTTTTTGAATAGTGTGAAACATTTTCTTTCAATGTTGGGATCACAGACTCGAGAAATTTTTGATCTGCAGTAACATTATCAGTGAAGACAAATTTTGGGAGATTGCAACCATAGATGTTGTAGCTTTCAATCAATTTATCGTAGACAGGTTGAAGATGACTATGATGTGGTGACCTAGCAAGGCTATAGCCATATTAGAGCTAACAAAGGTTTATCCATGCTGATATCATTTGTGATATAAGCTTAACAATAAATGTCATAGTAAGAACTATAAGGATATTACATCACAAGTCTAATTTAGTACGTCTGAGAAATACTTAAAATTTAGTTTAAAGCAAAGAGAGTTAAGAAGACTTAACATTTATTAGAACAAGACTAAATTAGTGACTATGTAATAATCGTATACATTTTTGGTTAATCAATGATAACTTCAAGATAGCACTAGAGATATGAACACAGCAGACAGTCTTTTATATAAATACTCGTACATTTCATTTATTAATAAAGGACAATCTTATAAACAGTCTCAAACTACTCCTATAGTCTTTTTATAATTTTACTTTACCTTAGAACACAACATATGAGCTTTAGTCGGAACTAAAGCTTGGGCCCGAATTTCTTCATATTCGTTACACACTGTATAGAGAGCACCAAAAACAGAAACACCATTGATTTTTCCCATATGATCCAAAATCTTGAAAGAGTGATCGGCTTTAAGAACTTCTCCACCCAATGACGATGTCATTCGGTCCATGAAAGGCCGAAGATCATTTATAATCGAGCAATATACAAAACTAAGATAACTTGCGGAGGGAATTGATCCGGCGTAATGTTCCTTGTCACCAAATGAAGAAAACTCGGTACTCTCTGTGGCTTTTGTATTCAATAATCCCACCAACGTGTTGTTTTGTGTGTCCTTTAACGAGTTAAGATAACGAAGCTCGATTTCGTTGTGTCTAAGAGTATGGAATTCTCTTAAAAGGCGACTGACCTTGCTTGGACCAAGGGAATTTTGTGCACCAGCCCTCAGCAGCTTACCCAAATCTTTAGATATTCCTGATCTGTGAGTCAAATGAGCAGGGAAATCCAGCTGAAATCTGATAGGCAGCTGCTCAATTATTCGTTTGTCAGATCCAATACATGTACCATGCTCCTTGTTTGGACATTCATAACGATATGTCATCAAGTAAAAATTTCTAAAAAAAAATAGTTAGATACACCAGATTTAATATAAATATGTATACCGGGGAACAAATAACTTACTCATGCACATCCACAATTTTTCGCGCCTTGGGGTCATCCAAAAAACTTTTCTTGTTCAAGGGGTTTGTGCAACCTGGAGTTACGCACTTCAATTTATCATCTCTAGTATTTAACAATGCATGAGGCAGCCAAATAAATACTTTAGGCAAATAAAGGGCTTCCGGGGAGGGCCTTTTTGACAAGGCGAAGTTTGACATCATAGGATTGATCCAGTATGTACCGTTCTTGTACGGATTACGCACATCACATTCTAATTGGATTTTTTGAAGATACTTATCCAATGGACCACCCTTGGTGATTCTGCCTGCATCTTCATCAATATTCAAAAACTCTTCTTCAGTTATTTCATACTCCTCTTCCACAATTGCACTGTAAAATATACAGTTAATCTAAAGTCCCAATTATTTATATAGGCCTAATCTATAAACTCTTACTCGTCGGTGCTTTCTTCATCCACAAGGTAATGTATTCCTTCGACCTCGGACGTAGCGCTTTGCTATAATTAGAAAATATGTTTTTAGCTTGATTCGACTAAAATAATGTTGGGAGTTTACCTCAACTTGTACACTGTTTGGTATTATGGAATCTCCGGAAGATGTGGATACTTCAGGTTCATCCAACGACCCTTCATGGACAAGAGATCCATCTAGGGTACTTTGATCATCAATTACTTCACATTTTTTTGATAAAAAATTCAGAATTGATTTATTCCTCTTGGGAAGAGTAGACTTTCCAAGACTTTTTTTTGTCGGCTTCATTTAATATGTAATTGAAGAGAGAAAAGTGTTATGTACAGCATTCAAATCAACATTTATAGTGATTGATCCTCGTGGCAATATCCACTGCGGGTACGAAAGTT